CAAAAAGCACACATGGTTAAATAATACATATTTACGGTACTCTGTATAATTGCACTACATTGCCCTAACAACCCCGTGCACTACAATGCCCCCAAGCACTTTTTTCACGTTGACTTCAATATCTCAATAAAAACAAAGTTAAACGTCAAATCAATACTAAATTTGTGTTCAGAAGTAAATTTTACATGGAAAAAGCACTTACCTGATACTTTTTTAACGAGCCTTACATTTTTTTCAAGTCACTAAAAAAACGGAAATATGGTTTCGAAATCTAGTGTTTTTGAAGTGACGCCACAACTTCTTTTAGAAGAAGCACAATAAAGCCTAAATGATATACATTACTATAATTTGATACCTTAATCCTACCATACTAACGGCAACTAATTCAATTCATTCGTTTAGTCAGTAAAGCCAGTGCACTACATTACCCCCCTCTACTCTATTATTTAAAAATGTTTATTTTAAAAAACCTTCACTAATAAAAAATTTAAATATTTTATTTTTTTTGTAGATCAAACAACATCTAATTTTAAATCAGCAATGTCCGCGTCTTATAAGTACTATCCGAGATGAGCAAAATGCATCCTTGATTAAAGAAGCATCACTGCCGGTAGAAGAAGTTTCACTTCCAGAGGAAGAAGTTTCACTTCCAGGGGAAGAAGCTTCACTTTCAGAGAAAGAAGCTTCAATTCCAGAGGAAATAGATTTAATTACAGAGAAAGAACCGTCACTTCCGAGGAGTTCAGTGATAATTACCGAAAATGAAGAATCAGTTCTGGAGAAATCGGCATCACTTCATGAGACTTTGCCAGGTACTGCGTCTAGTGTTTTTTTGAAAATTTGTTGCGATGTTCTAAATTCTTCAACTATTGGCACTAATTATAATATTCTACTTGAGGAAAATCAACAAACCTCCGTTGAAAATGTTTTAAAAAATATTGAGAATATTAAAATGCCTTCATCCCAAAAAATGAAGGGAAGACCAAAACATTCGTTGACAACAACACCTATTGGTCTTCCCAAAAGAAATAAAGTTGAGGAGAAACAGAATATTGTTCCTTTTCGGAAGCAACCAACAGAAAATAAAAAAAAATCCGTTATCTCAAAATCGTTAATGGAATATGAAATTGAAGAAGAAGATGTGGAAACCATTCCAGAAAAAGTTAGCTCCGCAATTGTTGACGAAGAAGTCAATATCAATTTGATAGAGAAGTTCTTCTTAAAGGATGGATGGCTAGTTGTGCAGAACGTAGTGGAAACAAAAAAAAAGAGAAACATATGGAATTGCAAAAAATGTAATGTTAATGTTATAGAGCCAGCGAAAAGCAATGAATTAAAGAAAGGATCTAGTAATAAAAGTATAAGGTGTGACTTTTATTTGGAGTGGTTTCATCAAATATGCGAAAATCTAAGAAAAACGCCAAAGACAACAAACTGGTACTGTTCAGAATGTAAAAATGTTAATAAAGATAAATAAAAAAGATTGCGTACATATAATTATATTAATATACCCGTAATTAGAGAAATAAGAAAACTTACAATCTTTTATATTAATATATTATCAGTAAAACATGGTCCATGGCTATAATTTTTTTATAATTGTCAATTAGATGAATTTAAAAATTGAGAAAATTAATAAATCAGATAAAAAATTTAAATACCTGTCAATAATTTATTTAAGGTTGATATTTGTCAGAGATTTTGTACCAAAGGAGTTGATAAAAAGGGAGAATAGAAAAATTAGTCAAACTAAAAGAAACTCTGGACAAGAATATATTTCTGTAAGTGGAAAAGTAGTAGCAAAAAGGACTTTAAAGAGATTACCAGGCTGCAAAAAACAATGTCATTTAAAAGTTTCACTATCAGATCAACAACGAATATTTTCATCATATTGGGAAGAAGGTACTTATGCTAGTCGATCTACATTTTTGAGCTCCTGCATTGAAATGGGACAGAAAAAGAGATTAAAAAAGACAAAAATAACTCGTTTAAGAAAATTTTCTGCAAAGTATTTCTTGTACACAGATAGTGGTAGACAAGAAGTTTCTAAGAAATGTATTAAATTTACTTTAGGCGAGACTGACAGTTTTTTTCGAAGCGTTTTGGATAGAATGTGGGATTTAATAGGCACAGCTGTTCGAAAAGATAGAAGAGGTCAGCATGTTCCATTTAACAAAACTTCATCACAAAAAATACAAGAAATTGAAGCTCACATCAACAAGTTCTCTGCTTATGAAAGTCATTACTCTAGAGCTCACACATCGAAAAAATATCTTGGAGCCGAATTATCTCTTCCAATAATGTATGAAATGTACAAAAACGAAGTAACTGAACCAACGAGTATGAAAATTTATCAAAAAGTTTTTAAATTGACTGGCCTTAAATTTAAAGTTCCAAGCTTGGACACGTGTGATAAATGTGATTCATTCGCTGCTCGTTTGAAATTGTTACCTGAAGGTGATGAGAAAACAGAAATTTCTAATCTTCAAAAAATCCACCATAATGAATCTGAAGAAGCTTACGAGACAAAAAGAAGAGACAAAAAAATTGCAGAGCAAGATGCTTCGAAAATTGTTTGCTCTTTCGATCTCCAACAATGCTTGCCTACTCCATTTTTACCAACGTCAGTCATGTTTTATAAACGATCTTTGTGGACATACAACTTAACGATCAGTAGTAGTACCTCAAAAACTACTGCTTGTTATATGTGTCATGAAGGTGTTGGAAACAGAGGTGCCAACGAAATTGCTTCATGTTTACATCATTACCTTCAGAATTTAGATCCTCATGTAAAACATGTAATTTTTTATTCAGATACATGTGGAGGACAAAATAAGAATAAAATCGTTGCAGCTATGTTTTCGTCTTTTGTAGCAAAACATTCTACATTGGAAATTCTAGACCACCAATTTCTTGTTCCTGGACACACGCACATGGAATGAGACGTTGATCATGCGTTAATAGAGAGAGCAAAAAAGAAAAGTAGCAAAAAAATTGAAGTTCCAGAAGATTGGTATAAATTAGTTCAAAGCATAAGATCCAAGAAGCCATTTAATGTTATAGTAATGAGCAAGGACAATTTCAACAATTTTGAAAAATCATTAAAAGGACCTCTTGTTATGCGGCACAAAAATGAAGACAAGGAACCCTTCCTTTCCTTCCTTATTGATCAGCCTGAAGAGTTAAAAAGGTTTCTAAAAAGAAAAAGACCATCTGTGGAGAAGAAAAACTGCCCCCGAAAGAGAAAAGAAAGAAGTAAGAAAGAAAAAAAGAAGTAAAAGAGAAAGAAGTGTGGGAAAATAACATTAGAATAAAAAACCAAAAAAACACAAGTTTACACAAACACAAAAAAAATTCGTTACAAAAAATTATGAGTTTATTTAGTTATAATATTTATTTTTTAATAAAATTATAAAATGTTTTTAATTTATTAAAACGAGAAAAAAAATTTACTTTACTGTTTAATTTGAAGAATTTTAATATAAATGCCCTTAAAAATAAGTACATAATTAAATGCACAATAAATTTATGTTATAAAAAATTTGTTCCAGTTTTATTAAAATAAATATATTTAATTGAAAGTACAAAAAATGTATTTTACTAAAAACATTTTATTACTAAATTCTTATTGTTTTTATTCTTAAAGGTTATTTTTTTTAAAAGGTTATTTTCATTGTCAATTGTTTTTTAAACTGAATGCAGTTATGTTATAATGCTGGCCACCTTTTGTCAAAAACGCAATTATGCGATTATGTTTTTCATTATTTTCTACATTAATAATCATTTTAATGATTTTTTAGCTATTGAATCTTGAAGAGCAATATTAAATATATACAAATCTGATGTTATCTCAAATTTGATAAAAATGTCAGTTATGCTGTTATGCCTTTCTTCCACAGATACTTTTCTAAAAGTGTGGTTAATTGCTGAAACAAATGAACGAATCGACGAATTTGCAATTTATATCCTTTGAGAAAGGGCTTAGGGGGTTAAGTGTGCAAAAACTGCCCCCGCATCTATTTTTCTCAAATTTGGCCCATATATTACTATCCATATGACTATAACTTTCTGCTATTTTAAACTCAAAATTCGCTTGTTTGGAGGAGTTATGGAGGGGGAAAGCAAAATAAAAAAACTTATTTTTCTCGAAAACTACTGAACCGATTTTAATGAAATTTTAAGAGGTTGTAAAAATATATAAGACGATTTTAGAAAAAAAAAATTTTTGAAAAATTTTTTTGAAATATTCAAAATTTTTTTTAGGGTTATTTTTTGAAGTGACCACTTTCTCTTTTGTTGTAAAAAGTACCTTATAATGTCCCCTTTAACATATATTTTTTTCCAAATTTTTTAAAAATATAGTTTTTGAGTAAAATGTCAAAAACCATGGTCACGTACGGTAATATACATTGTAACGCGGCATTTTATTTGCCGCGTACAAATTAATATTCCTTAAATAATAGACTTTAAATTTTATTGATTCACGTCAAACTGAGAATCAACAATCATTTTCTCCTTCTGAGAAAACTTACTTTAAATTTTTCCACCATTGTAAAATTTAGTTTCTCTTAAAATATTGTTATTTAAAACTGTAATTTAGCGAACCGTCAGATCGCTGGTCAACACAATTTCTGTAAACATAAGAGGGTGATACTCGGTTTTTCATTTTCATGTCAACTGTCATCGCGAGATCCGGATTTTCAATCTTCGGGATCACTGCCGAGAGATTGCTTCGTATTCCAACAAGTAATGTTTTTACTTGTAATCATTACGGGTCATACGAAGTGACAAAAAGGCGAAAGTCCATCGACGAGGACATCAGCTGTCAAAACACTGGCTGCAGCCATCTTGCGAACCGGATGTCGTCGCGCAGTGCCTCTCGCGGAGACTAAACGAACTTTCATGAACTCTTTTTTGACGGTCGATAAATGACCTGAATTACTTACTGTCGCGCATCGATTACCTACCGAAAATCTTTGTATCAAGTGCGCGTGAGACTCACTACGAAGCAGAGATGCGCGTCTGCTTCGGCGTCCCCGTCGGCCATTTAATTCATTCTCATTTTGGCGTCTTTGTGACAGGTCGCAGTAGACCGCTTTCTAATAAAAAAATTAATAAAAATAACTTTAATTGTGCCTTTTTCCTGGTCGAGATGAGCCGTGGGACCATGAGGGGACGTCGGCGTATCTCCGGTGAGTCTCTGAATAATTAAAAGTGTTATCTCCTGACGAACAATCGATTAAAAATTTAACATGTGTCAATTTCCTTTGTTTCGCGACATATCATCTGTGTAACTTCTGAACAGGTCCCGTCTGGACCTGTAATTTCTTGTGATTAAATCAAAAATTAAAAACGAACTTGTGATTTCTCTTACCCCGCGCTCTCCTTGAAAAGATTGAGCTAGCATAAAATTAATTAAAATAATAGGTTTGAATATTTTTCCATAAAATATCTCTGGCGTTCGGGCATTAATTCAAACAACAAAGTTATTAATTATTAAATTAAATTAAATAAATCTAAATTAAATTGTGAAAAATATTTCTTTGTCAAATTCGAAAATTAAAAATTGTTTCTCAAGGACAAATCGAGTAAACAAAAATTAGTGCGTCACTAGGCCAACAACATGGCCCCGTGTATAATATCAATTCTTGGTAAATTCACTGAATGATTACAAAATTGAGAATCACAGTTGAAAGAAAATTTATTCTTTCATTGAATAAAATTTCTGAAATAAATAAATTGATAATTGAATTAAAAATTGAACTTAAATAAGGATAAATAAATAAAAATAAAAATTATTTTTTTCATATAATATTATTGGTGACAATTTAATAAAATGACATTTATTTGTTTATTATGTTTTTCTATTATGATGAAATATTTGTTCGCCTGATTATTTTCTTGTGCAATGAAAAATTCCTTGAAAATTTTCCTTGATTGGTCCGACTGCTCTGCAGTTTTGTAACGAGTTTAGTATCAATTAAAAATTTTATTTTTGTAATTTTTCTTGAACACAAAATGATAAAAATTATTTTTTTTTATTATTTTGTTTATCGTAAATTAATATCACTGTGATAAACTAAAAAAAAAAAATTGTGACATCACATCAGTGAAGTAATTGAAATTGAAAATTTCTTAAAATTGACTTGAAATAAAATTGGTCTAAGCTCTTTGGCAGAACGTCGCGAACCATTTCCTATCTATAAATCCCAATAAAAAGAAAAATTTTATTAACTTCGCGAATTAACTAAGAAGTAAATTTAAAAATGAATTCCTCAAATAATATCGGGTCAAATTTATTTGACAATTGGTCAGTTGACCAAATAAAAAATTATTTGAAGTCGTTTAAGGTTAATTCACACCGAACCCTTCAAACGCTGAGAGATCGTGCTTCGCGGTTTTTGCGTTTTTCCTCCGGCGATAGATCGGTGGAGTGGCTTCCCTCAGATGAAATTCAATTTGAATTAAGCCCTTTAAACGCTGGTTCTGATTCATTCGAACAAGTACACGAAATAATTAAAAATCCTCTTTCTGAAGGAAATGCAATAGGTTTTTCAACTACGGTTATGAGTACCCAGAATTCGCTTTTTCCCACAATAACCACGACTAAAGTCGGATTCAAAAGTGTTGGCCCGTCACTTTCAATGCTTATAGCTTGTCCAAAAAAAGTCTTAGAATAAAGCAATAAAAAATTTCTGACAAATAAAGTATTCCCCATTTGAGTAATGTAAAATCTATTTTGCAAAAAAAAATTTTAGACTCAGCAATCGAAAATGTTGCGAAAAACACGTATTTTTAAGACATTTTTCACAATGTCAACTTTGGTGGGCTACCAAATGAAATATAACTCTTTGAAAAATGTGAAAAAATTCAAGTGAATACATTGAATTTTCTAGAATGTAATGGGTTTTACGGAGTTAAAAATTTTTCATTAATTAACTATTATAACACACTTTTCCACAATAATGTTATCTCTTCACTTAATTGAGCTAGAGCTTTCGTTTATGTCATAAAATAATCCGTTTAATTACATGATTAATATGCAAAAGAAACAAATCAATTTATGTACAAATTAAAAGAGAAAAATGAGTATAAATAATAACTCTTTTAATCAGTTGTATGAACTTGTCGGTAGGTATGAAAAAAATGTCGAAAAAAAGGGTTACTGAGAGGACAATAGTAAATCGGAAGGTATCTCTAGCATGCATCTCTAGCCTGTATCGGTTGGCCTTCCGATTTACTATTGTCCTCTCAGTGACCCTTTTTTCGACATTTTTTTCATACCAACCGACAAGTTCATACAACTGATTAAAAAAGTTATTATTTATACTCATTTTTCTCTTTTAATTTGTACATAAATTGATTTGTTTCTTTTGCATATTAATCATGTAATTAAACGGATTATTTTATGACATAAACGAAAGCTCTAGCTCAATTAAGTGAAGAGATAACATTATTGTGGAAAAGTGTGTTATAATAGTTAATTAATAAAAAATTTTTAACTCGGTAAAACCCATTACATTCTAAAAAATTCAATGTATTTTTTGGAATTTTTTCACATTTTTCAAAAAGTTACATTTCATTTGGTAGCCCACCAAAGTTGACCTTGTGAAAAATGTTTTGAAAATACGTGTTTTTCGCAACATTTTCGATTGCTGAGTCTGTAAAAAATTTTTTTGCAAAATAGATTTTACATTACTCAAATGAGGAATACTTTATTTGTCAGAAATTTTTTATTGCTTTATTCTAAGATTTTTTTTTGACAAGCTATAAGCATTGAAAGTGACGGGCCAACACTTTTGAATCCGACTTTAGTTCGATTCATTCTTTTGTGACAGTAGGGTCAACCGTAGCAAATTTGGTTTCTTATTCACGAGTCTCTGAAACTCCAGGCCCATTAGGATTAACCACTCAAGTAGCTCCACCCTTAGAATTACTCCATTTTTACAAACCGGGAATAATGACAGCGACTATTGAAAAACCAAAATTTGATTTTTCGTTGCCAAAATTGTATGAAAATTTGACCGCGAAAATAGGTGGCGCTTCTAGCGACGTCTCCGTAATGCAATCGGGTTTACAGTTTTTGACACCTTTACACACTGACGTAATTAAACAACCGATTAACAATTTTTCACATGACAAGTCAGCCTTTCGAACCCCATTGACTACAAATCGATCGGTTGGGACTATTCCTAAAGTCTCGACTGTTAACTGGTCCAATTCTGGCGAAACCTTTTGCCAGTATCCAGCCAGTTCGAAGCCTGGCCCAATTATGGCGCTAGATAGCCCCAGACAAGGGCCCGGTTTTAGCCAGCTTTTAGAGCGGGCTCAATCTAGTTCAAGTTTAATTGAACTAGAATCGAAATTTCCAAATAAACCAAAGCCCAGCGGTATCTCATCTACCGTTGAGGTTGACTCGCCCGTAAAAAATATTGGAATAAATGTAGATAACGAAATTAATACTTTATAGAAATGTAATTCTTTTGATGTGCAAAAATTTGATTTTCAAATGTCTATATTGATGAGAAATAATATTTACTTGTCGCTATCAATGTCAAACCTTTAAAACATGTGACAAATAGAATCCAAGGCCCGGGTGAATCCACTGCGAATTATCTCACCTGCATGCAAGGATTGTATTGTAAATTTAACCGTGCCGTTACGAGTTCGGAGATGTTACATAGAATTTACATGAATATGTTGCCGAAATTAAAACAATGTATTAAACGTCGCGAATTTAATAATTTAGAAGAGTTGTCTCTCATTGCGTCTGACGTTGAACGTATGTACAGCTCACTCGCGGTTGAGAGAAAGCCTCAAAAACCGGAAGATTCGTTCTTCCCAGAATTTGCCTTTCCGGGTAAAGAAAATTTAGTAGCTTCGAATAATACTAAAGACTCAGACTCGTCAATCGATAAATTAGTAAACATGTTCAGCGCGATGACTGAACAAATTAATAAAATCTCGAGAGGAAACAAAAACTCCCCTTCAGAGTCAAATTTTAAGAAACAAAATAACTCGGGTAAACCGAATCAATTAAATAACAAGTCTAAATCTCACCAGGCAAGTAACGATAAAGTTAAACCTAAGCGTAAAGAATTTCGGGAAGCGGTTCAACAACCTCCGTGCTTTAATTGTCAAGCTAATGACCATTCGTGGAATAATTGTAAATTAATAATTAAGGAAGATTTCGACTATATCAGCAATTAGTGACATCTATTAGACGTCAATTGAACTCTTTGGTTTAGAGTCAGGTGTTATTCTTAAGATAATTATTCGCGTTAGTCCCGCGAAAGGCAGCTATTAACTGGGGTTCGAGTCCTCACAGATGCACAGTGCAGTCGTTTACGCAGCATATTTTTTCAGATCAAAAATTAAATTCAAAAATATAATTATTTACCGACAACCATATCGGAATAATTATCTTAAGAATAACACCTGACTCTAAACTAAAGAGTTCAATTGACGTCTAATAGATGTCACTAATTGCTGATATAGTCGAAATCTTCCTTAATTAAAAATTCTTAATCAGCAAATAATTTCCTACATTAACTATACAGCTCTTCGACTAGTGTATGGGCTTGATCTGAGATTATAAGAAACGTGAACGTCCAGGCTGTGTTGGCATGGTGCATTGGTAGGCGTTAGTCCCGCGAAAGGCAGCTATTAACTGGGGTTCGAGTCCTCACAGATGCACAGTGCAGTCGTTCACGCAGCTTATTTTTTCAGATCAAAAATTAAATTCAAAAATATAATTATTTACCGACAACCATATCGGAATAATTATCTTAAGAATAACACCTGACTCTAAACCAAAGAGTTCAATTGACGTCTAATAGATGTCACTAATTGCTGATATAGTCGAAATCTTCCTTAATTAAAAATTCTTAATCAGCAAATAATTTCCTACATTAATTGTAAATTAACTTGGAAAAAATTCTGCCACATTTGCGGTAAACCGGAATTCACCAAATATGACTGTAATTCAGATTACTGTCAGGGAAACTAGTTGAGGAGAGCAGCGCTAGGGTCGATGCTTCTCCTTGTTCGTTACCTAGGACCCTGACTAACAAGAAATCGGACATGAATTTAACTCTTAACGTAGAATCAGCATTACCATCGCCCCATTCAAGTAATGTAGTAATTGAAAATAAAATAAATTCTTTAACAAATAAATCTGAAATGAAAATAAATGATGAAAATAGTAATTTTGGTAAGCCCCTGGTTGAGCCACCAGTAAATAAATCTCAATCAAGTTTAACCGATTCAGAAGTAACCTGTAAAATCTCAACTGACACAGTAAGTGTTCAGGAGAAAAATAAAAATAACTTCACTCTAGATTCGGACCCTATAATGGGCCTCGAATCTTATATTAACCTAGATAAATTGTGTGGAATCGGATCTCAATCGAGACCATACATTAAATTGTTAATTGGTGGTACTGAAGTACAAGCACTAGTTGACACTGGCTCGACTAGAACTTACTTGAATTCTATTGGTAGATCAATTGTTGAATCTAAAGATAATAAAATAAATGAACTTGAATCGGGTCACGTAATGTTGGCCAATGGTACGATTGAAACAATCATTGGTGAGGCAATATTGCCTGTCACTATCGAGGGAGTGATTCGCGATTTAACAATTAAAGCTATCCCAGAGTTAACTGATCAATGCGTGTTAGGGATAGACTTCTTAACAAAATTTGGCGTAGTAATTGACACAAGTGTTCAACGGCTTTGGTTAGCGGAAGAACCGATTATTAGAATCGCGTTTTGTAAATCTAGCAGACCAATTAACCTTGAAGAATGTTCAGGCCTTATGACACTTTCTCTTAGTGAACAAGAGGAATTAGACTCGTTAATTAAAAGATTAGTACATCCTCTGCCAGATAAACTACCAGCCCTTAAATTGGTTGAACACGTCATTAACACTGAGGATCATTTGCCGATCCGTCAGAAAAACCATCGAATGTCACCCAAAGTTTGCGAATTCTTAATCAAGAACTCCGGAAATCTTGAACGGCAGGGACTAATTGAACCCTCTCATGGGGACTGGTGTAATCCAGTCTGCATGGTAAAACAGCCGGACGGCACTTATCGGCAGTGTCTGGATGTTCGTAAATTGAATGTCGTCACAGTAAAAGACGCGTATCCCATACCGTTCATGGCCGAAATTCTGGATAAGTTAAATTCTGCCCATTATATCTCGACTATAGATCTCAAACTAGCTTATCACCAGATCCCCCTTAGTGCGGAAAGTAAAGCAAAAACTGCCTTTGTTGTACCGGGGAAGGGGCTGATGCAATACACTAGAATGCCATTCGGGCTTTGTGGAGCACCAGCCACCTTCCAACGGTTAATGGATAAGGTGATAACTGACGATTTGAAGCCCAATGTATTCGCATACTTGGATGACATAATAATAGTCAATACAAATTTTAAAGAACATTTAAAGTGGCTTGAACTCGTAATTAATAAACTTTTAAAGGCCGGTTTCACAATCAGCCCCGAGAAAAGCAAATTTTGTGTTCCCGAAGTCAGATATCTTGGCTTCAAAGTAAATAAAAATGGGTTATCCATTGATGATGACAAACTGCGCCCAGTTCTAGAATATCCTCAACCTAAGAATGTTCGACAATTACGTCGTTTCATAGGCGCAACTTCGTGGTACCGTCGTTTCATCCACGATTTCGCGAAAATCTGCGAACCCTTAACTCGTCTTTTAAAGAAAGACCAGCCATTTAGTTGGACTAACAAGCAAGAAAATGCATTTTCTATTCTAAAGAAAGCCTTAACTTCTGCCCCGGTTTTAAGTTATTCCGATTTTAACTTTACATTTAACGTTCAAACTGACGCGAGTAATTGCGGGTTAGGAGTTGTATTAACTCAAATTCAAGACGATAAAGAACGAGTAATCGCTTATGCCAGTCGAGTACTCTCAAATGCTGAACGGAATTATTCCGTGACGGAGAGAGAGTGTTTGGCTGTCATATGGGCAATAAGAAAGTTTCGATGCTACTTGGAAGGTTATCACTTTAAAGTGATAACTGACCACAGTTGCCTTAAATGGTTAAACAACCTTCGTAACCCAACTGGCCGCTTGGCCCGTTGGTCTCTTGAATTATTAGAATACGACTATGAAATTTTACATAGAAAAGGGTCAATGCACCTTGTCCCGGATGCATTGTCCCGCATGTTCGAAGACGAGACTGAGGACAAAATCGCATTACTTCAATTAACCACCAATGACTGGTACGATAGACGTAAACAAGACGTAATTGATAATCCGCGTAAGTACCACAATTGGAAAGTGACTGACGACCGACTTTATTACTATCGTAGTAACCCTCTTTTGGAAGATCTCGTAGAAGATCTTTCAGCCTGGAAATTAGTAGTCCCCGAAGGAGACCGCTTAACCATCATGCGAGAAGCCCATGAGAGTGGCCAAAAGACCTACAATCGCGCATCAATCCATTACTATTGGCCTGGCATGCTAAAAGATATAGAAAACTTTGTTCGCAAATGCATTGTCTGCCAAATAAATAAAACCGAACAAGCTAAACCGCGTGGCTTAATGACACAACGAGTTGTTCACGAACCATGGAGTGTGGTGGCCACTGATGTCATGGGTCCTTTCCCCAGGAGTGCAAGAGGCTTCGAATACCTAATAGTATTCCAGGACCTCTTTACCAAATGGGTTGAGGTGGCCCCATTGACAACAGCCAACGCCAATACAGTAATTAACACATTCCGTGAACTCGTGATAAACCGTTGGGGCACTCCTCAAGTGCTTCATAGTGACAGTGGTACGGAATATAACAATAACGCGATAAAAGAATTAACAAAGACGTATCACATTCACCACTCTTTTAACCCTTTATACCATCCACAAGCGAACCCCGTCGAGAGGACCAATAGGGTTCTCAAGACTATGATTCGATCGTTCATTAACGATAACCATCGAAACTGGGACATTTATATCGGCAATTTTCGTTTCGCGTATAACACGGTGCTTCATAGCACCAATCGAGTCACCCCTGCCTTCTTAAATTTTGGAAGGGAACCAGTTCCTTTACGATCGTTCCGTCGCCTTGTGGAGGGGGAGGTCGAGTTGCCTCCTCTTGATGTCAATGAATGGACAACTCGAATGACCAGATTGAATGACCTAAGAAAGAAAATAACGTTAAATCAAGACAAGGCTTTTCTTCGCCAAGCCAAATATTATAATCGTCATTATAGGGGCCAGCGTTTTGAAATCGGAGATTTGGTCAAGAAACCACTTCATGTCCTTTCCAGTAAACGCGATAACATAGCAAGTAAATTGGCCCCAGCCTTTCATGGCCCCTTTATGATAACCAAAATTATTTCTCGTAACATCTATGAATTGGCGTCAGTAGAAGGTCGTCTCGCGGGTAAACATAACGCTTCACACTTGCATCCCTATCATGCCGAGGACTTGAGCAGCGAATCTGAGGATCCGGAAGAAGAACGCATTTCCAATCGTGAATTGTTAGAAATTAATTGGTCCGATACCGAATCTGAGTCCGCCCAGCCGGACCCAGTGGTTGATCCGATCATATACGCGAACCCTGCATTCGAAGAGGAACGCGTTCACCGTCATAAATTGCGTAATCGGTCTTACTCTTACTAATTCACCTCTTCTCGGAATAATCTCGTTCTGCCAAAAGTTCTGACCCTAATATTATTATCAATTAACTAAATTTAGTAAATCATTTGACAGAGAAGATATTGTTGGGTCCACGTCGACTGGACTATGAGGAGGAGGTAGATTGTTTGGTGACATCTCGCCATTTGCTCACACGAGGACGTTTCCCATATCAGGCTTCCTTGTTTTCTGAGAGCGATTTGGAGGAAATTCGCCGCTCCATCGGCCAGGCTGTACCTATCCGACTATCACCAGAGGAGGAAATCTTCCTACCAAGAGTAGAAAGCCCTGAACCAGCATTACCTAAAGATTGGGCCTTAAGGCCTCAATCCCCAACTCACTCTTCGCCTGAGGCTGGCCCTTCGACTTCCGGCCCCAGGCCTGGTTATTCTAAACCCCTTAACCGTAATCCAACTTACCCCAGGATTAATAAGCCGAAATATTGGGGAGTGGATAAGGCTCGTCGGGGCATTTGTGGTAAATGCCACCAGCCAGGTCATGGTTACCTTCCATGTCCACGTCTCTCTGAACAGAGACCAACGACAAATTACCCGAACCATTCGGCAAATTAAAATTTTCTTGTACTAGCCCTTGTAGGGAGGGGAAATACCCTACTTCAGAATTAAATTTATTAATAATCTTATTTAACATGTTATTACTCTTGCTTTCAAAACCTAAATCCATCCATAAAAACAATTAATTCCTTTTGATATTAAATCGACAAACTATATTCCATCATTTTAAATGTTACTTTAATTAATAACTTGAAATGTTCTCATTTTTTTGGTGAATTGATATTTGGGTTTTTGATCGAATTAAATTAAAAATCTAATCATGGAAATGAGAACTGAGAATGAGAGAATGAGAATGAGAACTGAGAATCAACAATCATTTTCTCCTTCTGAGAAAACTTACTTTAAATTTTTCCACCATTGTAAAATTTAGTTTCTCTTAAAATATTGTTATTTAAAACTGTAATTTAGCGAACCGTCAGATCGATGGTCAACACAATTTCTGTAAACATAAGAGGGTGATACTCGGTTTTTCATTTTCATGTCAACTGTCATCGCGAGATCCGGATTTTCAATCTTCGGGATCACTGCCGAGAGATTGCTTCGTATTCCAACAAGTAATGTTTTTACTTGTAATCATTACGGGTCATACGAAGTGACAAAAAGGCGAAAGTCCATCGACGAGGACATTAGCTGTCAAAACACTGGCTGCAGCCATCTTGCGAACCGGATGTCGTCGCGCAGTGCCTCTCGCGGAGACTAAACGAACTTTCATAAACTCTTTTTTGACGGTCTATAAATGACCTGAATTACTTACTGTCGCGCATCGATTACCTACCGAAAATCTTTGTATCAAGTGCGCGTGAGACTCACTACGAAGCAGAGATGCGCTTCTGCTTCGGCGTCCCCGTCGGCCATTTAATTCATTCTCATTTTGGCGTCTTTGTGACAGGTCGCAGTAGACCGCTTTCTAATAAAAAAATTAATAAAAATAACTTTAATTGTGCCTTTTTCCTGGTCGAGATGAGCCGTGGGACCATGAGGGGACGTCGGCGTATCTCCGGTGAGTCTCTGAATAATTAAAAGTGTTATCTCCTGACGAACAATCGATTAAAAATTTAACATGTGTCAATTTCCTTTGTTTCGCGACGTATTATCTGTGTAACTTCTGAACAGGTCCCGCCTGGACCTGTAATTTCTTGTGATTAAATCAAAAATTAAAAACGAACTTGTGATTTCTCTTACCCCGCGCTCTCCTTGAAAAGATTGAGCTAGCATAAAATTAATTAAAATAATAGGTTTGAATATTTTTCCATAAAATATCTCTGGCGTTCGGGCATTAATTCAAACAACAAAGTAACGTGTGTTTTATTTAATTAGATGATCCTGAAGTAAACAAAAATAAATTCTTAAAATAAAATAACCTCATTCAGAGTAATAAAATTAATAGAAATTTCTCAAATATTAACAACAATAATAAGACACCCGTTATAACATATTATGTACTAATGGGCAATTTCATGTGTTATTTTATTTTTTTTTCATGTGAAATTTTTTTCATATATTTGGCTATAGCCAAGTAAGTATGGAAAAAGTGACACGAATATATTTTTCCCATTTATTCCTACCCACTTAAAAATAACTTTTTGAAATTTTTAACTCAAAATTTTAAGTTTTTTGGAACTCATGGAGGGGAAAAAATCGAAAAACGTATTTTTCTCAAAAACTACAGTATGCATTTTAATCAGATTTGGATATGTTGAAAAGATAATTAAAGAGATCAAAAAAAAATTTCAAATTTTTTTCAAAAAATTTTAGTTTTATTAAAGTGACATTTTTATGTATTTTCTCATTTCATTCTCTTATGTGATCTACTTAATAAAAAAATTTTGCCCGACATGATTTCAGGGTGTGTCACGGGAAATAACTCAAAAACCCTACCCGGTACATTTTTATGTTGTATGCCATTATTTTTTAAAAAGTAAGACTGTTAAAAAAGTTAAATAAAAAAAGTGTGACGTACCGCTTCAACGATCTAAAAAGAAAAAAAGGAAAATTTTTTGGATTTTTCTTTGGATGTCACTTTAATGGAACTAAAAAAATTTTTTTTTGAAATATTCAAAAAACAAATAGTACGTGACAAATAGCATGACCATGGTTTTTGACATTTTACTCAAAAACTATATTTTTAAAAAATTTGGAAAAAATATATGTTAAAGGGGAACATTATAAGGTACTTTTTACAACAAAAGAGAAAGTAGTCACTTCAAAAAATAACCCTAAAAAAAATTTTGAAAATTTCAAAAAAATTTTTCCAAAAATTTTTTTTGAAAAAAAAGTTTGATTTTTTTTCTAAAATCGTCTTATCTATATTTACAACCTCTTAAAATTTCATTAAAATCGGTTTTGTAGTTTTCGAGAAAAATAAGTATTTTGATTTTGCTTTCCCCCTCCATAACTCCCCCAAAAAAGCGAATTTTGAGTTCAAAACTCAAGATTTCAAAAATGAAATTTTCAAAAAAAATCTCTTACTTTAAAGGACTATATTTACATTTTAACTGATTAAATTGTTTATATCTTGGCCCATTTGACTCTAAATTTATTAAACTTTAAAATGATCTTAATTTGATCTGAGCGGGAGGTTTGACGTCGAAGTATAATGTTGTGCACCGTCGATTATTGTCCGGTACACACCATTAGAATTCGACTGTCGATAAACCGGTTGTACTCGGAGAGGTTTTCTAGTTTCCCTCTCCGCTGGCGAGAAAATCCATTAGACGGGTGGTCCAGGCAAATGCGAGTACTCCTAATTTTCAAGTCGCTCTGTAGGCGCAAAAAATTAGTATTAAGAAATGTTTGTAAGGAATGTTCTACGGTTGTAAAAACACTTGTATAGCCAAGATTGTAGGCTTAAGACGGGCGTATAAACAAATAAATAAAATGTAATTTTTTTTCATAATCGTATATTTTCATTTTTTCACAAAATATTTTCAATAATAGGTATTTAAAAAATAAGATTTCTTTTATAAATAATAAAATTACTTACAAGATTTCAATTATTTTAACAATTTTAAAGTTTTCAATTTTAAGAAATAATCAATTATTCAATAAATTATTGAGTTTCGTATTCAAATAATTGAATTCTCGTAGAAATTTCTAATAAGAATCCAGGTATGAGTTCTTATAAAAAATGTCGAAAGAATTTTAAGATATGTAATATTTGAAAATTTTAATTTGCTATAAAAGTTGTGACGTTGCAAATTTTTCATAAAAATATTAACAAAGTTTCATGATAAGTTTGCATGAAATTTAATTGTAAACAATCATTTTTTTAAAAACAATAATAATAACTAAAACAAAGCTTAAAATTAAGACTAGTTTGTTATAGGGTAACTGTACCAATTGTCGAGGGTTTTAGGCAACATGTGACTTTGACATTTTTTTTCTCGGAAGTAAATGCACTTAAAAATTATTTTTGTATATTTGGACGAAGGATCTAATAATGTTTAATATTAATATTTATTTTTTTAATATAAACTAAATTATTAAGCAAAAAATATATTTAAAAGTCAATCGAGCAAAAGCACCATTTGTCGATGGTCTTGTGCTAATTTCTCGAGGGTCTGTTCCAATTGTCGAGGGTATGACATTTTTAAACATATAACCCAATATAACCTAACAATTAACCTGTACAAATATTAGAAAATCGAGTAGATATTTATTTTTTCGATAAAAATATTATAGAACATTACCAGAAAACAAATATATTTATTTAACTATAATTGAATAATTTATAATATCGATATAAAACATTTTTATAGTAGATGATACAGGACAGAAAATTATTTAACTGTTTTTTAAACTTTCATAAATATAAGTTAATTAAATTTAATCAATTTTGTTAATCAGACATTAATTGAAAAAATAAATTAATTTAAGTCACATTAAATTTGTAAACGAATAAAATAAACTTTTATTACGAACTGTAAATATAATGGTTAATTATAATTAAACTATAGTACAAAATTTTTTAGTTTTAAATAATGCATTTTTTTATTAATTTTTTTTCGGTCTTCCTCGTTTTTTTGGTTGATTATTTTCTGTTGGTTGTAAATTTTTGGAGCATTTTTTTTCTTTTTCTCTGTACCTATAAATGTTTGGCATTTATGTTTGACGTTTAGTAAATAAACACTTAACCATCGATAAATGGTGCATCAGCGAAAAAAGTGACTACACCAATTTTCGAGTCATTACCTCGAAAAATGGAACTGTCAAAAAAAAGGAACCAAATACCGATGATTTGCTTTTAAAAAATATTAAATATTTTTTTTTTAACAAAAAAACATGCATACAAAATTAATTTAGTTCGTGTACAAAATTATAATAATAATTTTGTACACAAAAAGTCATTATAAATACGTTTAATTTGCATTTCTAAAAATCTGTTTTAATCAACCTGAAGTATTAAGAAAATGGAGATTCGTGTAAATTTCACAGCAGTGAATTATAATATTAATTAAATAATTATTTTAGTAGAATCGCTACGAAATTTGTATATATAAATATACAGTTGAAAATACAAAGATTATTTAGAAATTTTTTTTGTTCTTAAATATTATATATTATACTATTTATCTAAAAAAGAAAATTATTATCCTCGACAATTGGAGCACCCTCGGCAATTGGTGCAGTTACCCTATAAAAATTAATGTAATTTTATAAATATCATTTATCATTTCGCTTTTGCGAATTTTTGTTTTTCGTATTCTCTGAATATTTCTAGTATTTGAAATCATCGAAAACGACGTTCGTCGGTCAACCTGCAAGCAGAGTTCCCCTCTCGTCGTTGACAATTTCCCCCTTTCTTTGTACGAATCAAGGAGAATTTCCCCATTTCTCCTAAGAAATGACTCTTCGAGACTTGCCGCTCTCGCTATGTTTCCCCCGTTTTCGCTTTCCCCTACCTACCGGAAACTACTAAGTCACCCAACTTAGCTTGAAATAATTTTGAAATTGTTACCTTTTTCTTGTACCTAACCCGAGAATTGTTATAAATAATA